CCACACCTAGTCCCACAGATCCAGCTATCAATCTTCGCCCGTAATCCCCCATATGAATCTCCTACTTCTTCCCCATTCTTGCCTTCTTCCATCTGCAGTCCTCCATTTTCCTGGCAACAGGGAGCTCATATCATAATTCCTCTTCAGCTTCTTTCTTTCTTATCCCTCCATGTTCCATATCATCCTTTCTTGCTTTTCCCCTCCCTGTCTGTATGCTTCCTTGCACCTCTTGGGATGACATAATTCAGAGGACAAGCCTTTCAAGACCAAAGACTCTCACTCGCTCTGCCTGTGTCCCGCTTCCCTTCAATCCTTCTCTGTGGGGTTCTCAGAGGGACAGTGATTACAACCAAGTGACTGATGCCTCTGCCATGCCAATTAATGTGGGGGGCTTAAAGATGGAGCAAAGAGAAAGAAGGAAAATGTGCCTGTGCCCGCATCTCCACACATTACCATATTAAACAGGCTGGTGGGGCATCTCAGCCCAACTGGTAGCTTTACAGCAGACACTTCAGGGACAGGTTTCCCCAGCCAGACGTACTCCAAGTCAGACATGTTTGCATAAACTGCCCCACTCTCTCCAGACAAGCTTGGCGACGTGTCCTTCTGTGTTTGTCCTTACAGTCAAGGTGCTAACATTTGACATTATAGTATGGGTCTGCTTTGTAATTGGGTGTGAAATTACTGTCATTCCAGCCTAGGCACTAACATTGTCTGAGTGACTCTGCCTGTGGGTGATAGGTGCATAGAGTCAGGCATACACTGCACATTTGAGCACAGACAAACCTGGCCATGCTACAATGCATCATACACCAACGTGTTTTAAAGTTATAATCCATCAAACTAACTTCAATGTTCCTCCTCCTGTTGAGTAATGATGCACTCAATCCCACTGTGGCCATTCATACTCAGCCATGCATCATGACCTGCTTCGTACATCAGTTATACTGAGCAAAAAACCCAAAAAACAAAACACAGTGACTCTAACAGTTTGCCACAAGAAAGCCAGGAAAGAATCAAAGAAGCATGCTAGCTCTGTTTAATTGCACCGCGACAGCACCGTGACGCTTGTTAGCCAAGTACAAGAAGAACTACAAGATAATGGTCACTCACTGAAGTCACAAAACATGGGAATGGTGATAGTGTAACATTTTTGCAGTGAGAATTGGATTATTAAGACAAAAGTTAGTTGCAGTAATTGGTTACTGTGGCTAAAAGAACCTTCACTTACAGAGAAATTAAAGACTGAAGCTAAAAACAGAAAATCTACTAAAGGTCAGAGCTCTGATATGACTACTCTAATTAGTGTTACTTTGGAACAAGATGAGGTCTTTCTCCTCGGCAGTGTCTCCTGCTGCACTGTCAGTAAGAAGGTCTTTTCATTCTGCTAGTATATTACAAATTTCTTTTTCTAACAAAGGTGCCCAGTTCCTCTTTAAGCAGCCCCGCGCAGCCACTTCGCCTCAACCAGTCTTTTGCATTACTTTGCCTTCAGCCAACATTTATAATTACTGCTGAAGTGCACGCTCATGCTCATTCCTGACCTTAAACATGTACTTTGCAAGTTGTACTTATCTTTTTGTGCTATTATGTTGATTTTGTTTCCTATTCCATTTTCTACTCGTTCATCACAAACATGTGCCCTCCATCAACACAGTTTGAGATGAAAAGGGGTCTTATTGAGCCCTTGTTTAGTGCAGCCTCTCCAAGTCTGCAGGAGCCCTCAATCCCAGCTCACTTCTCAACGCTGCACACTGATGCAGAATTAATATGATTGCTTGTGTTCTTCTCTGCAGTTTCGCCCTCCGTGGGACTAAAACCAGACACTGGACCATTAATGCCTTCAGATAAAAAAATAATAATAATAATATTTAATAAAATAGAAAACATCAAACCAGGCTTAACAGCCATAATGACTCTAAAGTGAATAATCAGAACCTATGACGAGATAATAACGCTCTTTAATTCATTCCTGTATATTTCACCCTCAAATGATAAGAGAACCCCTATTCAATAAATGATTATTTATCTTTGTAGCTCCAACATGAAATATCTGCCGTGTGCTCAAATTGGCACCTCTCAAAAGATGAAGCACACAATAGGAGAAAATGATGGTCGGGCTCGTGCTGCTTTATCATCACATGCCATAAACACTAGGTGATTGTGTACAGTTTTTCAGTTGTTTATATGTAGCAAGTACACTAACAACATAGATTTATATTTCACCGAACATCCATCCTCTACTGTTGTTTTCTTTTCATCGTGATTTTTTTATACTTGTGTATTAATTTATGTTTTTGTATTTATATTTTTGAGAGCTTTGATTTTCTTTGACTTCCCATCGATGTCACTTGAGGTCCTGCTGGGTAGAGGTGGGTTTATGCTATATTGCTTGTGCTGTTTCATTGTAAGACTGCAGCCTTGCCAATTTTTTTTAAAAAGCCTACTGATAAATTTATATGTGCAGTGTAACACTTGTTAACCCACTTCCTGTGTGTCCTTCTGACTCATGTTTTTATTTCACTTACAGCCCACAATTTGCAAAGCTAACTTGTGTAATTTTGAGGAAAAAAATAAAGAAACCTAAAAACAAAATGGGACAAATGATGTTTCCACTGATTCACAGGCTTCTAGTGCTCAGCAAGAATATCTAGTAACTTGCCATACTTTGGCCTCACTTTTTCATCGTGGGAGGAAGCAGAAATTTCCATATGATGATGCATGTCACTCTTTGTAAAAATTAAGAAATATTCCTCTGGCTCAGCTCCGCTTTCCTGCTTACACTGTGCTCAAGGTGTCATGCAGTTTGATGGGAACTGACGAGGTCTGAGGGTAATTGGCTGTGTAAAGTCTGCGTCAAAATGCAAATTTATGTCAACATTTTCTCAGGTGTTTCTACTTTTATCGCAAAACTTGGAACAACAGAGTACAAACAAACTGCAATTTGTGACAGGTCTATAAACAATATTTGTGAGTACACAGGAACTCAGTTGAATTACTGATTGCAATCATGAATACCATTAATGAAGCTTCCCAAGTGCAAATACTGTATCTCTTGTTTGGATCAGAGTTTTTAGCGTCACACAGAGCCAATCCTTCTATGCTAATGTGGACGCCGTAAAATGGCTGTCCTGCGGCATTTACTGAACGTCCAAGTGAAGAGCAGGAGGAGGATATGCTGATTAGAGGAACAGTATACCATGCTGTGCTTGGCTGAGTTGTTTTGTGCAAACAATAGCAATATAAGCCCTTTTTAAAAATAAAAAAATAACATAATTCAGGCCAAAGACCAGACCTAGACAGCATTTATCAAGCTCTTTTGTAGCGTTACTGACCACTCAAAGCACTTCACGCTATAAGCAATCTACACAGTGCTTCGCTCTATACACTTAAGTGCTTTGTTTCACATCTAAACCTATGGGCAATTTAGAAACACCAATTAACCCCGCATGAAGGTCTCTTTAATGTAGAAGGAAACCCAGGCAGGCACAGGCAGAATATTTAACTCACACAGAAAGACTTCTGGAAAGACCTGTTGTCTTTATGCTGGTGCTCCTGTGATCTTTATACCTTTGGCAAAATAAAAAGAGGACTTGTATTGATTGTATGTCTCTGTCGGATCGTTTTCTTCATCACAAATAATGAAATCAGACAGTAGGATTTTAAAACAGCAGCCAATGGTTAATATTATAAACATTATTGGCTCCTGATTCACTCTACTTTATAAGATCTAATTAATATAGAATACTATTTATAATCAATTCACCCTCTATACATAACTAATGCTGAGCTTTGATTAGCTGATTCATTAATCAGAGTTTTCTTAGCGCTTGTCCGTTCACCTTCCTCCATCTTTCATCTGAGGGAGATATGTAGTCCATTTATCCCCAGCTGTATTTATTCTAACTCTCGATTATAAATCACCAAGCAAAGCTTTATTACTTATGCACTTAGGGGTAATAAAGCATTAATTGGTTATCCTGGGAATAAAGAAACAAATGGAACAATTAATCAGCTAATATGAAAATAATAGTCTTAAGGATGTGATCAATTCTGCAAAAAAAGAATGTACTCCAGGGCACTGAATAAGCTGTATGTTACTACCGGTAACTGAAAAGGCCAGCCGATGTGATGCAATATGACTGTAATGAATTGCCAAATGTTGGGAAAGTATGCAAAAAAAAATGTTATCAAAGTTTTCTGAGATTCATAGCTGCCTATCTGTGTCTCCTTTTTTAGCTTTAAAGCAAGATGATTAACTCACAGTGTGAATGGCCCTTTAGATCTTTACAATAGGCAACTGCTTTTTCCGCTTTTAGTACCAGATGCAGCACAGACACTAACATGTTTACAAATGGCTCATTAGGACTCCTGCATAAATATAAAGTGTCTCTCTAAATGGGTTTATGTTGCCTACCATTAAGTCAGGAGCGTAATCAGATGGGGAATTTTCTGCAGCGCCACAGACATCAATCAGTCCAGCGCAAAACTTTAAAGTGTGCGGTTTTCTCGTGCTCTTCACAAACTTCACCATTTTCTGTATCCCCTGACATATATTTACATCAACTGGGCAATATATTCCCACGACAAGATAGCCTGTCATTCTCCCTCATTTCGTTTTCATACATCATGTACAAAGCCTACCAGCAGAGCCGATGTGGCTTCACCTGTCCCTTAGCCTTCACCTGTGTTCCCCTGTAGTTAAAACGCCTGCGTGTCCGCCCTCTGGACTGTTTTCTCTGAGTACTGCAGCATCACCAAACCGGCTATAAATCACATTGCATTATCACCGCGCCGTGCTTTGCCTCTCGCTGTGCCCGCCCACCGCACGGCTTCGATTGGCCTGTGCAGGTCCTTGGTCGGCCTCTCTGAGCGGGACATCGGCGCAATCGTAAATCCCGCCTCCTGCTTCGGGATCGGTGATTGGAAGAAGGGGTTTTCTGCTAACTGTCAGTCAGGCTCTTTTCTTTTCGTGAGTCTCGCATTCAGTGCTGCTGCCTGCGACGCGCTGAGTGCGGAGCGAGGAGACGCGCTGCATACCAACAGAGACATACGGAGAAGGCTAATTTTTGGCCAGGACGCACACAGACCCCATCCCGCTCTGTGCCAAAAACAAATTTATATCTGGTCATTGGACAGTTTACATTTTAACCTTTCTTCTCATGCATTTTCTAAAATATTTTTTCTGTCCTTCAGTGAACTAAAAAGCCAATCAAGTGTCTGGGATATTTGTTCTTTCTGCTGTATTTTTTTTTCTGGTTGAGGGATTCTGCTCCGAAGAAGATAAACAGCCCTACCCACCCCTCTCTCTCCAACGGGAGTCACCAAAAGGAAAAGTCAAGACTGATGTTTTCATCCACTCACATGTAGAAGCGTTTGGACTATTACTGTTGACACTCGTTCACTGGGTCTTTGTTTTAATATATATATATTTATATATATTTAATCAGATTTCCCGCAACTGCACCCTAAGGGAGGAATACCGAGACATTTGGCTGCAAAAAAGGGAAAAAAAAAACAAGCATAAAATCAATCAGAACTCCATCATGGGCTGCCCCCTCTTGCGGAACGTGTTTGCTGCTCTGATTCTGGTTCTGCTGTCTAAAGGTAAGTTCCTTATGAGCTACTTTATTGATGTGCTGACGGTTCTGTGCTGCTGCGCCTCTACGCATGCATCTTTCATTTTCTGAAAAGCGGTTGTGGAGGTGAATACTAATGACGATGATGAGGAGGGGGGTGTTCTACCTGCTTGTGAATCACGCGTGTCTGCCGTGTACTACGCTCCAGCCTTCTATTTGCTTACACACGGAGATGTAGAGAAATGCTGTGTGTGTTTTTGTGCGGGCGCACACCAGTATGCGCGTACACGTGAGCGCAGCGCCAGGTTCATCTCTAAGCCAACCTCGTGGTTGAGTGTATAAGCACGAGTGATGCATATTAAGATGTTTACTACGGAAAGAATAGACTCGCATCCGCGGTCTTCTGTTAACATTCCTTTACGTGGCATGGACTGCCCGGTACCCCCGCGCGCACGACGCAGCATCAGTGTGGGTGGGGGTTGTGAAGTTAACGTGAGTAAGGGTAGTAGCAATGCAGAGACTCGGGAGATAGCCTGTGTTTTGTTCTCTCACTTCAAAACCAAGGCCGAGAGACACAGAGGGCTACATGTTGAAGGATGGACAGTTGGGAAGGCTTAGGGTTTCCAATATGCGCTCGCTGGGTAGTCAAGCTTTAATTACTGCTATAAAACATCCTCCCAACAGCTCTACAAAAGAGACAAACACACTTCATTCATCTCCTCTGAAATTCCTCCACTTAAAACTGTTTAGTCCTCAGATAACTTTCACAGCCCACATGATGTGGAGGGTATTTAGGCTTCTTTATTATGAGGAACACAAACTTGAGTGCTGATTTTCAAAAGTCTTCTAATATCTTCCTCTAATAATCTCTCCATGCTATGGGATGTCCCACCATATATTAACCTGTGCAGCAGATTCTCACCATGCACTGTAATTTCCCCCTGCCCATCCATCATGGAAAAAACACACACAAACACGCACACACACATGAGCACACAAATATACACACCTGGCTCAATTAGTCCTGCCTTAGTCCTGTGGGAAATCAGTATATAAATAAATTACTCTGGCCCTTAATAACAATAATTGATGTGTCAGTGCAATAAGATGTGAGGTTAACAACCTGCAGATGCAGACGGGCCCAAGCCCCCTTCGCCTGGGCTCCTTGTGGGCAGGAGAGCCCAGCTGGTCATGGTTGGCTTGACACAGCAAGCCCCTTCTCCACACCAGGCAGCGAGCAGACGGACTGCCCTGCAGGATGTACACAGCACACAAACACAATAGGCTCAGCACCTCACAAAACGAGCCCTGCAATCCCATTGAGTCTCGTTTCAGTTTTAAGCCGTTTGCGTTTGGACCCATGGGTTTTGTGATGTGAAGGTGTGACCGATAATTTAAGCCACAGTTGCGGAATGATTGAGTATTGATGGGAATTGTGCACACCAGATTCGTCTTGGAGAGAGTTCCTGCCTGCTCCTATGAGTTTCTGTAGGTCCACAGTGTGTCCATCTTTTGAGGTAAAGAGCATGCATTATAAAGGAAGAACAAGACTGTTAAAAGGGCACCGTTCCCTGGTTGATAAATCATGCAGCAGTGGAATAATCTTTTGAATCTGTGCCCCTGACATTCAAGCAAGTGTCGTGTGCGTGGTTTAAATGGTTAACCAAAACTGTTTAGTAGATTTGTTATTTCCTGTGAGTTTTTATTTCCTGTTTAATGATGTACAAGATGAAAATCTCTAAATGGTTGTACGGCTTTTACGGTATGTTATTCATTTGAAGACATTTCTTCCTCTGGAGATATTTCATCCCCATATTAATACTCATTTAGTCATTCATATCATGAATGACCAATATTTTTAAGAGAGCAGCATTGTACTTCACAGTGCCATACCAACGAACCAGGTCAACAAAGGTCTTTTCTGTGCTGCATAACACCATTAGGCTATTCAATGGTTTCCTACTGGCTTGGCGTGTGAATGCACAAACCTCTCCATGGGTGTTGCAGCCAGACCCTGGCTTGACATCATATCTTTCTCTTCCTCATTAATTTTCTCTTTTTTCTTAAAATGCATGAGTACCATTAGGCTAGAATGGTGGATGGCCACTCATATGTGCAGTAAAATACCTGCATATTTCTTGCACAAAAGCTGCCTGCAATTACTCCAAAACTGTTTCATCAGTGAACCAGGCCAGTGATGAAAGATTAAGGCTGGAGTCGATCTCCACACACCTCCACACAAAATTAAACAATTTACCCTCTGTTCAGATGATTTCTGTTATGACAGAAACCTGAAATATCTAATAATGAGAATAACAGCCTCACTGATTCAGTGAAAAGTGAAGATGACAAGAGAAATTGCTCCAGCTTAAAGGTCACAGCAGAGGACATTTAAGGTTATTTCAAAGGATATTATGTTAATGCTGTATTTGGATGTTAAAAGATTTCTACCTTACAGACATGGATCGGCTCCATTGCAAGAAATTCAACTTTGACAATATACTGAATACAAAACATAGTAAGTTACTAACGTTTAAATAGCCCAACAGATGGATTTTCCCACCAACATGATAGAGGTCGTTGTAAGAGGAAGTGTGCAGGGCAGGAACACAGGTGAAAACAAGTGGGGTCGCTTTGTAGCCCGCCATCCTTATTGTTTCAGCAACATATGGGGGCCAAGTGGGGTCAATGCACATTGCACATGTTAGCACGTAAGGACCTCCTTCTTCCCTGTCTCCTCTCCCTCTCTCTCTCTCACACTCTCTCTCTCTCACACACACACACACACACACACACACACACACACACACACACACACACACACATTCAACTGGATCACCAGTCTTGGCTTGGAGATGAAGAGAAGGGAGATGCCAGCATCAACAGATGCCTAGTGCTCCTATTCTGGAGGGGTCTCTGCTTTTTCTCCCTCCCTTTGAAATCCACGGTCTCTCTGTGCTGTTGTTCTCCATGTTTGGCTTACAAATGCTTTGCCATTTTGGCAGGTTTTATGTATCTGCAAATGTTGGAGTAAGAGGGCCTGGATTTGGGCTGAAGAGCCTTGGGAACTAAGGTTGGAGGTATAACCAGCCTTGAGAGGGCCTGTGGTCTGAATATTTTCCCTGAAGGTTTTGCTTTTTTATTTCGCTCGATGTTGTGTGGTCGACTTTAGTGCAGAGCATTGAGCGTCATAAACGGAATAATTTCCTCACATGTAGTGAAGCAGATCAGACCTAAAGAACACTCAGCTGTGACTGGGGCGGCTGTGGCTCAGGAGGTAGAGTGGGGCGTCTACCATTTGGAGGGTCAGATCTTTGCTCCCTGGCTCCTTCAGTCTGCACATTAAAGTATCCCTGGGCAAGATACCGAATCAGGAGTTGCCCCTGTTTGTTGCTGTGCTTTATTTCAAACCTCATATTAAAAAAGTGTAATAGAGGGGAGAATAAAGTTGAGATTTTTCCAGTCTTAAAGTACAAGAAGAATTTTGCAAATGTACCAAATGTTATTACTTCTGTCTTAAGATGGTGTGAAATCACTTGAATTGTCTAAATTAAATACTACCACCAGAAATGAAACGGCTATTGTAACTTTACTTGAATTGTGAATGCAGCACAATGAATTATGATTCATGGCAACCACTAGCAGTATTTGTATTGAATCAAGGTTTTAAGGATGCATCTCAGGGACTGTAAAATGCAACCAGTTCATTTTAATCTTTATTGTCTGCAGTAGGGAGCCTCTGCTTCCGGCATACAAGAACAGAACACTCCAAAGTTGATTGTTGGGTGCATAAAACAGATTAAAAGTGCAGTTGCGGTAGCAATAGTATTAAATGACCAAAAGATCAAAACAGAAAATGACTTCTGCTGTGTTGATTCTTGTTGCCTTACTCTGTGAGGTTTTCCAGCCGTTTTCCAGCATATCCAATTAGTTTATCAGGGATGAATAACCCCTCAAGCAATGACCGTTTGATCTGTCGTGCTGAAGCTGAAATCTGCGTCTCATAGAGTTTGAAGCTATCTGAGGTCATGGGTTCAAGTCCTTTGAGCATGGTTACCTAGAGTACTGGTGTGGTTGGTAGGTGGGTTCAGCATCACCTTACTGCCCTTGAGATTGTTCCCGTCGGTCACGATTAACACTTTCATGGGCCTCACATATTGGTTTGGCAGGATTGGCAATTACATGTGATGTCAGTGTTATAAATAATAATTACTGCGAGGTTTGTTTACACTTATATTTATAGTTAAAATATAGGATATGGAGTTCAGCGTAATGGAAAGTAACCAGACTGCTTTCAACCTGGGACACGTGGTTATACAGACTAAAATTACCACTGTAATTCATTTTGTTACAACCTCCCCTCATCTTCCTCTTCTCCCACTCCCAGCCTGAATATGAACTTTATTGGTGGTTTCTCAGTGTTATGAATCCTTATGTTTTATTTATTCCAAGTGAAGGATCATTCAAAAGGTAGCTGAGTGGGTGTATAAGCAGTAGTAAGCAGTGGCTTGCGTATTCATGTGGACTTGTGCCCACAGAGGGACATATGGACTATTGAACATATGTGTGCACACACCGTGGAATAGTCCCTTTACTCGGGCCATTGGGAAGATGAATTTCAGCAATTTTCCCACTAAAGGTGTTAGCAGTAAAATCAATGGAAAGCCAGTGAAAACGTGACATCTTTTCATATACATCAGTGTGTCTATTAATAACTCTCAATGTTCTTCTCAATAGCATTCACATAGAGAAATCAAATAAGTCTCTGAACAGTGCAAATTTCTTCCATTTGGGCCACGAGTCTTCAGTCCACAGTGCAGATTTAGCTATCTGCAGGGAAAAGGAGAAACACGAAACAGATGTTTTCTTGTTTGGTTATGTGGAGATGTTATACATTTAGGAGGAATGAATACTGTTGGAAACAGAGAAAGAGAATAGCTTGTGATTTTCTTGCCTCTATTCCGCTTCCTTCTAGTCTTTTTTTGTGCCACAGAGTTAGTGTCACTGGAAACACAATTCAGATTAGTG